CATTATCTGATCCAGCTAAGCAGCTTCTAATCACTAACAAGGAGTGCCCCTGGCTGGCCTCCAAGCCCAAATCTTAATAGAAAAAATATGCTCTTTTAGCTGAGAAAAATGCTTTTTCTGTTGAGAAACACAGATGTTACTCATCGCCCACGAGTTACTGTAAGAACAGCAGGCATGCTTGAACTCAAATGGAATTTTTTTTAAAGATTTATTTTTTATGTAAACAGTGTTCTGGCTGCATGTAACCTGCATGCCAAAAGTGCACCAGATCTCACTACAGATGGTTGTGAGCCACCATGTGGTTGCTGGGAACCGAACTCAGGACCTCTGGAAAAGCAGCCAGTGCTATCAACCCCTGAGCCATCTCTCCAGCCCCTCAAATGGAATCTTTAAGTCTGAAATGACTCCAGATGGAAACTGAGTCACACGTGGGCTCCCACATTGGACTGTGAATTTCATAAAGTTAAGAACTAGTGGCTGGATGCTGTGCTTCTCTAATCTTTCAGCCTTCAGCCCTACTATCTGACTACAGGATTTATGAATAAGATCAATTTGTACTACGTCTAAAATCTAATTTTAAGAAAGGCTTCTTCTTAATTCCTCTTCATGATTTTTGGTCTAAATTTTTGTCAAGTAACTTAAAATTAAGATTTTGAATTCTGTATATAAATAAAAAAAAACTATGCTCCTTTAACCTCTTTTAGCTTTACTACATACAGCCATACAGCACTTAAAAGGTTTTCTACAGTAAACCATGATCATTCTTAGCAGTGACCATTAAAATCTTAAACAAGGGCTAAGGGCCCCACACCATTGATTCCTCCTAGAGTGTGGTAATGCCACTAAACTGACTACCCTCCTCCAAAGGTCAGCTTTGGGCTATAAATTATTCAGGACAGTTCCAAGATTACTATCTAAGATGGTCCTCATGCACTACACTAGCCAGGACATGAGACAATTCCACCACTTTCCCATTACACAAAGACTGGACAATTCTCCCATGAATTGAAATTATCCTAGGTTTATTTCAGGGTCTCTTATAGATGCCATTGCCCACAAACAACCAAAAATAATTTTTGAAACATGGTGCCCATATTTCCAAGAGTTTGGGTAAGCAGTTTGGACATGCATTAGGTCATGATTCATGTGTTCATTGAGATGGAGGTGGTAACAAGATACTATGGGTAATGGTAAAAAATATAAACAAAGGAGATTATATTCAGTTGTCTTGAAAAGAAAAAGGGAAGATGTATAAATTATAGGATAAATGATAGATTACTAAATTGACTTTAAATAAAAACAACTATTTTTATTAAATATTTTACATTAGTATGGCTTTTGTATATTAATACATATTTGAGATTATTTTTGTTATATTATAGATGTTTCTAATCTTAACATATTTGTGTATACTCATGCAAATTCACGGTTATTTTTGATAAAACATACTGTAAATACATTTCTAACTCTTTTTTTTTGCATTTCTCAGTTTTCATTTTTACTGATTTCAATCACAACCCATGGGGTAGTGCTTTGCATGTTTGTGACAGGTTTTCTCCATTCAGTTAGCTCTCTCTGGGAGAGCACTCACAGAAAATTCCTGAGACATGTCTTATGAAATGCGCTAGGCATTTGTTCATTTAATCAAGCTGACAATGGAAAGTAACCATAGCAAGCGTATCTGTTATCAACTTGATAAACAAATACTTTATTCCAAAAGATAACATTGCACTCATTACATAAAAATGCCTTCAGTTTGTCTCCAATATTCCCAAAGTCTTAACATTCTAACATTGCTCAAACGTCTAAGGTCAGTGTTTCAACTGAGACTTTGGCAGTTTCTTGACAGTGAGGCCTGTAAGATCAAAAACAAAGAAAGGAAGACCACCATACTGCATACTTCAAGTATATAACAGCACAGTGTAACCATCCCCAGAAGGAAGGAATAGAAGATCAAAGAAATACTGGGCCACAGTCAGGCAGAATCCCAGCCGACTCAACACCAAATGCCCGGATGTGGCACCTGGGCCTGTGATATTCTCTTCTGTGTTCCACTAGCCTTGGCTGTTCCCACAAGCACTTTCTTCAATGCTGCGTCTTCTCTCTTGACTATGTGGATTGCTCCCCTCACAACGTGGTTACTCTCCATTAAGTCTTTTCTCTTTAGGAAAAACAGTTCTCATGAGCACAACAAATAATGTGTCATATTAATAACTTGAGCACTAATCCCATCAAGTTGACAATTGAAATTATCCATCACACAATAATATATATACATTTATAATTATATAAATTTAGTTATTTTTGCACTAACTGTAATTTATCTCCTTTTTTTATTGAGAAAAGGAGAAAAAAAAACAAGTTTCCACCTCCTCCCAGCCTCCCATTTCCCTCCCCCTCCTCCCCCCCTACGCCCCCTCCTCCCACCCTTCTCCCCCTCCCCCCACTCCTTTCCCCCTCCCTCTCCAGTCCAAAGAGCAGTCAGGGTACCCTGCCCTGTGGTAAGTCCTAGGTCCTCCCACCTCCGTCCATATCTAGGAAGGTGAACATCCAAACTGGCTGGGCTCCCACAAAGCCATCACATTATGTAGGATCAAACCCCCGTGCCATTGTCCTTTGCGTCTCATCAGCCCTCATTGTTCGCCATGTTCAGAGAGTCCAGTTTTATCCCATGCTTTTTCAGTCACAGTCCAGCCGGTCTTGGTGAGCTCTCAATAGATCAGCTCCACTGTCTCAGTGGGTGGGTGCATCCCTCGTGGTCCCGACTTCTTTGCTCATGTTCTCCCTCCTTCTGCTCCTCATTGGGACTTTGGGAGCTCAGTCCAGTGCTCCAGTGTGGGTCTCTGTCTCTATCTCCATCCATCACCAGATGAAGGTTCTATGATGATATGCAATTTACAATTTAACAACAACACTAACCACAAAAAGCCTAAAAACCCATGGAAATTGAACAGTGCTCTATTAAACTACCCCTGTGTCAAGGAGAAAATAAAGACATACTATAAAAAAGCTGTTCTCTACAAAACTGGAAAGGTTAAACACATTTAAACAAGGTTAGTCAGCAAAATAAAATCAACCCAATGACAGCAGGCAACTTATCCATCTGTTTTTGACCAACTTTTATGAGACCTGATTTTGAAAATCGGGAGTTCCTGTCTACCACTATAATCCATCAATCTGTCATTGAAACATTCCTTCAACAGTGTCAGTTTTTCTTTTCCAATGGAGGAATTGTAGAAACTAAGAACATTTTGGCTCTTCCTTCACCCACAAATCCAGGACTTGGTGGAGTCAATGATAACACTTCATTGCCACCACAGTTGGAACCGCAGCTCATTCACCCACAATTGCTAATAGGTCCTCTTGATATTATATAAACAGAACACGATTGCAAATGGCCTGAAATTGGACAAAAGCAATTCTAGACATGCACATTTCAGGGTTTAGTAATATATTTCATGTTTCATACAGATAAGCTACATTCAAATTGATGAGACATTTTCTCTTTGAACTATGTTGTATTCCCATACCTTGCAAACTTAAAATGTGGTAAGCATGACTGGAGAGGCTTAATTTTTATAAACAAATAATAGTTATAAAAATGCAAAGCTGCTGCTGCATGCACCCTGATTGCAATGAGTATATCATTCCTGTGGTGATTTCTGTCACATTATATTGTGAATAAAATTGTTCTATAGAAATTAAATGATTTAAAACTTATATATGAAATGTTTAATGCTTTCAGTCTGCTTTATGGCTGGTTTTGTTATTTGATGTGCTAATTTTTGAACTTAATTCACATTCAAGCAGCCTGTATAGATAACTAAAGCAGAGTTAAGTATTTTATAATTTCAGGCTGCTATGCCATGCTTGGGATATTGTTGGAAAGAAAGAAAAAAAATAAGTAACATATTTCATATTTCTGCACCTTCATCTTCTAAGTAAATCTTTGGATGATTTCATGAAGAGTGAATGTTTCATATACTCAAATACTAAGGACACACTTGTGGTTAAAGTGAGCTGATAATGTGGTGTAAAGGGTGGTTGTCCCCAACTCATTTCTTTATGATCTCTAATGAAAAATACATTTTGTGGGGGCTGGAGAGATGGCTCAGCAGTTAAGAGCACTGACTGCTCTTCCCGAGGACCCAGGTTCAATTCCCAGCACCCACATGGCAGTCCACAACTGTCTGAAAATCCAGTTCCAGCGATCTGATCACCCTTACACCAATGCACATAAAATAAAGTTAAATAAACCATAGAAAATTAAAAAAAAGAAAAATACATTTTGTATACAGTTAATTCTGTAAACAGATGCATGTTCATAAGATCTATGATGGTCTTATAATCTTAATCTAAAATATTTTAGATATTTTTAACTTTTTCCTCTTGGGAAATACATTTAGTATAGTGTAGAAAAATACTTCATGACATTTTTTTTCATATAATGTTATATAACTTTTCATACATAAACATGAAATTTGATGTAGAAAATATTTTAAATGAAACATTTTATCTAGGACTTCAATTTAATTTGTTTCTTGAATCTATTTCTATGTGGCATTGAAAATATATTCCAAAAATTCCATTGCTAATACAGCAATAAAAAGAATTTCAGTACTGACAAACTTCTTGGAGTATGTATATATACAATTACAAACTTGTATTCCTACTCTTTCTGTGATATGTTGTTTTACAGTCAAGAATGGCTTTTGTGAAATTTTTTTTTTTTTTTTTTTTTTTTTTTAGGCAAAGAATTTTATTAACCCTTTTCCAAACTTTATTCCCAGGCTTCTTCAGCTTAATTTGCTGCAAAGAATGAATTGTGTTTAAGCAAAAACTGAAAAGAGCTGCAGTGTCCAAGGGGCTTGGGCTTAAAAATATTAGCGATCTAGATTTGATCAGATCCATAAACAAAAGACCTTTAAAAAGCAGCCATGATATAAAATAGCAGCTCCTGTAACTTCTGCAAGAGTCACTTCTTCAGATATGACCTCCGTTCAGTTTGCCTCGTTCTTAGAAGCCTCATCAAAATTCTCCACCAGGTCTGGGACTTCATCATCATCATCCTCTCCAGTAGCAAGGGGTGCTTTTCCATCCACAGATTGTTTGGGCAGAGCTTCAGCCAGTCTCCTTAAACTAGTCAGACTGTCTGCCCCAAGCTGGTTTAGAATGCTGGGAAGCATTTCTGTCAGTTGCTTTGTCTCGGCGTGGCCTGTAATGGTGAAGGTGTTTGCTGCCAGAGACGCCTGAACTTTAGGGTTGTTAAAATGGATCACTGTTCCTTGGTTTGTAAACATGTTCACCTCTTCAATACCAGAGATATTGTTCACCCCTAACTTCTTTAAGGAGAACTGAAGTTTTTTATCATCTGCTGTGGCTGTTCTGTGAACCACCTTCTTCTTTCTGCGAGCAGTTCCTTTCCCACCAATGCGCACTTGTGCCTGCAGCTTGGCCAGTTTTTCCTGGTTCATGATCGTTTCTTTCATCTTGTCGGAGTGGAAATGGAGCCGCGCGGGGGATTAGGGTTCGCGCTCAGGGGGTCTCGGGCGGACCAGCTGAGATAAGGCGCACACACGCGGGGACGCAAGATGGCAGCTCTTTTGTGAAATTTTTTAAACCAGTTTTCCCCTTTGATGTTGGTACCAGAGTTGCTATAAATGACTGCTGCTTTAGGGGTTAAATATTTTGTTAGTGGAGATACAAGCAATACACTAAATGATAATAAAACTTTCTGACTGGATGATAGGTAAATATAGTTGGGCTATATTCAAAATTATTTTAATACACTAATTATATCATGTCGATTGCCTTTGGGTGGGTTACTCAATCTAGGGTTAGTAACCCACCCGGCAGTCAGTTATTCCAGGGTCACGGAGAGGCACTACCTGGAAGATATGAGCTAGGAAAGCGGAAGGAGGCTAAGCGAGAGTTCTTGTCAAAGCCTCCATTTATTAGAGACGGGGTACAACTTTTATAGGGTAAAGAGTTGGGGGATGGGCACAGGGGCCTGGGCTCTTGCCGCGTGGTTCATGTTGGTCACATGGTCCGAGTTGGTCACGTAGGCAGGAGGTTGTCTTAGGTCAGGTCACTGTAGGCCAAGAAGTCACGAGTTGACACACCTAGCTCCCTAGATAGTTTGGAATGTGGGGTGGGTTCCGCTAACAGATAGCTCTCCATAAACAGCCAATTTGGGTGTGGGGTAGGCTCTGTCAATAGAAGGATTCCTAACACAATTAAGGGTGTGGGGGTCTCTGCAGACTCCCCAGGGTGATGGTTCCTGTAATGATTTTAGGAGGAAATTGGCTCCTAACAATATCATTTCTTTTAATGGGAAAAGGAAAATGGTTTGTTTTTTATGCTGGGTCATGTTTTGTGTAGTAAAGAAAAAATTCTTTAGTCAATATTGTAATCTTTGTATTTCAATGTTAAGATTTCCTTGTTTGTATTATACTAAATCAATGATTTTGAGAAAAAAAGAAATCAACAATTTTCTGAATAGGTATCACATACCATAATTAGATCAAGACCAGGTGAATAATTTAGATCAACCTATAACCTGCAAGGAAAGAGAAGTCATTCCAACCAAAAAAAGTCCAAGGCCAGAGAGTGTCAGTGCAGAATTCCATCAGAACTAAGACCCAATAGCAATACTCCTCAAAGGGTTCCACATAATAGAAACAGAAGGAACATTGCCAGACCCCTTTTATGGTGCTACAGTTACCCCTATACCAAAACTATGCAAAGATTCAACCAAGAGAGAATTATAGACCCATCTCACTGATGAACATACATTCAAAAAATACTCAATAAAATACTAGGAAAGGAAATCCAAAAACACACCAAAAAATCATCTACCATGATGAAGTCAGCTTCATCTCAGAGATACAAGAATGGTTCAACATACAAAAATCTATTAAGAATCCTGCCCTCTTTAAGTTCTTTCCTGACATCCTTAAGTAGTGAATGACAATATGACAATATAAGCCAAATTAATCCTGTTCTCCCACTAGAACTCCTGATTGCTAAGGCTTCCCAGAATCCCTCATTGGCTAGGGCCACCCAGCTGGGACTCACAATATTAGCAGCTTCTCTACTGGAGGATCAGAGACCAAATGACTCAGACAGTACAATCCATCCAGTTCTGCCCTCCCAGCCCAGCAGACAGGGCCCCTGTTTAAAAAGATTGTGTTTAGTATACATTATTCCACTACCCTAGAGCACATCCTGTTCCACATCCAAAGTACAGGATCCTTTGTTGCACATTCCATTGCACACTCACTTTACAGTGCATCCATCCCATTGCATCAGAAGTGGGAAATCCTGCAGACTAACACAGGCCACATTCATAAAGTAACTCCTGTTACTGTGTAACTGTGGTTACTTTGTAACTGTTGCTAAAGAAAAACATACCATGAATTAGAAAACAATCCAGGCATATTTGGGTTTGAAGGCAACAAGGAAAATGTAAGTATAATGTGGATTTCATCTCTAAAATTATTTTGAAAACTTGAAATAGACTTTATGGCCATGTGCTCCAGAGACTAGGGATTTGTATTAGAGCACATTAAAGATTTCTCATACATTTTCTCAAAAGATGAACATCTTAATGCAGAAATATAACAGTCCTGTTAAGCAGGGCCACAACCTTTTACCCAGATTTTGTATTTTAGCTGAGCTACTGTAAATATAGCAATGTGGTTTAAAGATAATGTCAGTTTCTTTCCCAGATTCTTGATTGCCTTGGTCTGTGGACTGAAAACAATTGTCAATCTGAACATTCATGAAATATCTACAATTGACTACCTGATTCCACATAGCTAATCTCAACTACTGTTGACGGAAGAAAGCTTTCACCCTCAGTACAACTTCTCCCTTTGTGCCCTGTGTCTCCAGCAGCTTCAAAATTGGTCAATGAGCTCACCTCTTGCACAGGTTCCTTTTCTTCTAAGTCCCCATAAAGACTAGAAAGATTAGCAGACACTCAGTAACTACTCTACATTTCTTCTTCATTGACAAGTCAAGGCCAAGCCTATAAGAAGTTGCAGGACTGTTTTCCCAGCACTGGGGAGCAGAGGAAAGATTAGGTGTTCAAAATGATTCTCAATTATGTAGTATGAGGCAAGCCTAAACTAGAGGAGACATTGTTCTCCACAGAAATCAATAATTAACATCACTTGAGAGACATAAAATGCAACTATTAATAACTTTGAAACATTGGAGAACAGAAATAGAGACAAGTGCAGCAATACACTTAATGAAAACATCTGAAAATAATACCAATAAGAGCCGGGCGATGGTGGCGCATGCCTTTAATCCCAGCACTCGGGAGGCAGAGGCAGGCGGATCTCTGTGAGTTCAAGACCAGCCTGGTCTACAGAGCTAGTTCCAGGACAGGCTCCAAAGCCACAGAGAAACCCTGTCTCGAAAAACCAAAAAAAAAATACCAATAAGAGATTTTAAAATGATAAAAATATTGCACTCTTGAGATTAAATAAAACTTTCTATATTGACTTTGAAACAGAGTTGGCCTTTGTATAGGAGAGGGAATGTCATTAATAAGAGATAGATTAATGGTTTCTATATACATATGTTGGCTACTGAGATCTGTAACCTGACACATAAAGTTAGTTAATGGCCTGTTTCTCAAATCTCTAAACAGACAAAACTGTGTCAAGCAAGATCAACCATGTCTGCATAGAATTGTTGCCTAATTGCCTTTCCTGGAACTAGCTCCTGGAGACCAGGCTGGCCTTGAATTTACAGCCAGCCTTTGCCTCCCTAGTGCTGGGATTAAAGGCCTGTGCCACCTCTGCCCAGCCAGGAACATCTTCATAATGGTGGCTCTAATAGTTGATTGCCTCCACTGTTTCCCCTGCAGTGTACACAATAAACTATTCATCCTATTGTGGTCTGAAGACATAAGGAATGCTCCATATGCACCATATGCAAATCCTTTCCCTGCAACTGCAATGCACAGTCAACTACATGACACAAATGCATAATTTTAAAACTGTGAGGTTTTTTTTTTTTTTAGGAATTTTGTGTTTTTTTTTTCTTTTTTGGATTTTTCAAGACAGGGTTTCTCCATAGCTTTTGGTTTTGAAAGTCTAATGTACAGGACAGCAAGGTCATTGCCCTGGACAGCAGCAGACCTAGGGCACCTGAGTCAACATAAGAGAACTTCTCTCGGGGGCTGGAGAGATGGCTCAGTGGTTAAGAGCATTGCCTGCTCTTCCAAAGGTCCTGAGTTCAATTCCCGGAAACCACATGGCGGCTCACAACCATCTGGAATGAGGTCTGGTGCCCTCTTCTGGCCTACAGACATACACACAGACAGAATATTGTATACATAATAAATAAAAAAAAAGAGAACTTCTCTCAGAAACTATTTTCTAACAGGATGGAAATGCATCTGTTCTAGAACTAATATCCCTTTCCATTGAGAAATAACTTTACACACTAGGAGATTAATAAAGAAAAACCTCTTTAATGATGGTAGACATCAATCTCTAGCTAACGCTCAAAGAGGTGCCAGCTAGACAGATTCCACATTTGCAGTTCACCTTAAGTGTCCTTTAGGTTCAGGCTCTGGGTTACACTTTGAACAATTGAAATAGAAACAGGCAACTTGCCAGGCTAGACATTTAGGCAGATAGGAGAGTTACAGAGCAAAGATATTATCAAGGTAATTTCTTCATTAAACTGGTAACCATAATCAGCAGGTGATTCCTTCAGTGACAGGGTCCTGAGGTGAAGGTCACAGGGATGAGAAGGATAGGAAAACCAAATTGTAAAAAAGATAAAAAGCTAGGGTGGGGAGGTCTTGCAGATGCCTAGAAAGCTTCCTAGGAAAAATTGCATTTTTCTGGGCATTGGTGGCACACACCCTTGCTGGGCCAAGTAATCTCTGTGAGTTCAAGGATAGCCTCTTCTACCCAGTGAGTTCCAGAATAGTCTGGACACTCCTACAGAGAAACCTTGTCTCAAAAGAATTTTAAAATGGAGAATAGCATCTTGTATTGAAAGACCCCCACAGTATAGACAAACAGCTAAGCAGCAGCAATGCCAGGCTTAAACTTTGGAGCAACGCAAGTAACATTAGAGCAGGGAAGTTCGACTTGAGAACAAGGGCGGAGAAGCCAGGCAAGATATCTGCGGTCAGCCGGTCAGCCATCTGGCCCCAAGCGATAAGGAACCCGCAGCTGGCCTGCTCTAATGAGAACCTCCCGTTTGCTTAAGGAAACAGGATGCCTATAGTCAGCACATGTGCCCAACTTAGAATATCAGTAATTCACAGAAGAGACAACTCCCCCTATGAAAGATCCCAGCTTGGCTGCTGTAACGTCATTTCACAAAGCTTTTGATGAACGACTGTAAGTGCAGAGTAAGGTCAGGGTCCCTGGCTGCAAAACAGGATATTTATATCCATAGATTCGGGCAGGACATCAATTAACAGGATATCTGTTCCCATATATCTGTGCTGGGAGAGGAAAAACCACCTGTGCCCCTTGCCCCATTCCAACTGACCACTAACGATGCATTTGCTTCTGTAATCTGCTTCTGCTGCCCTCTTTCCTATAAAAAGACCTTC